CTGAATGGTGACTAAGATGAAGATGGGTTGGTATGGGACTGACCTTGGCGGCGAAGCGACAAGCACTTGTGTGAAGTGACCGAGGTGTGGTACGGAGACAACTGAGACTAGAGGCAGTAGTTGGGCACGCGCGTGTGATAAGCTGTGATAGCATGATAGGAAAGGAAGGGGTCGACTGCTGAGACCCTGAGGCAGTGTAATAGGGGCAAGCCGTTAGTGGAAGTCAATCGGCGCTCGAAAAAACCCCAAGGTCGTCGGTCGTGAATGATGGGTAGGAATCGGGTATAAGTAGCGATGATGCCACTAAGAGCAGAGCGGACAACGTGGTGAAGTGTCGAGTAGTAGTTGCCCTCGGAACGGACGGAGACTGTTGTTGTTGCTGCCGCACTGGGAAAACTGTCAAGTGCGCAAGATCCTGAGGTTGAGTGGTTGGAAATTATTATACCGGGATTCAACTTTCTTGAGTAGCATCAAGGAGTAGAAGCACTCTTGAAGCTCAAGTGAGGTCTGTATGAACTTACGTTTCACCAGTCCTACCACTCGGCTCGCATTCGTATTATATTATATTGGTTGTTCAGCGATGTAACTGTCAAGGCGTTGGTTCCACCATTAAGTCTGATGATAGACCGGTACAGTGTGCGTTGATAATAAGGACAGTGTTCGATTTAGGAACGGACAGATCGGAAGAATGTGATTCCAGGTGCAAAGATATTTCCACAGTTTAGAAATTCTTCCCGGTGCGTGCAGTGGTGGCCGCAAGCAACGTTGTTGCTATTGTCAGGCCCCTTCTGTATATTGTTGATGAATATGCTAACATCAATTGCTCTCTTAGCAATATTCCTACACCCGGTGACAGCCGCCTCGCCTCCTACCTACTTCAACCTCACCTCGACAAACGACTTCTGCACCGGTCGTGGTCACCCTAGTGCTATTCTCGATACCATCTCTGGAGCAGATCGTGAGGTGATGAAGCTCATGTGCGAGTACTGGCCCGAAGACAAATGGGGTGTTATTGAGGACTCCGATTTGAACGAGGTCGCGGCTTTGGCCGAGAACGGCGAGCTCGCGAAAATCCGAGAGAAATCAGTGCAGTGGACGAAGGCTGTGCGGTCGAGCTCGAAGTTCTGTTGGCGAAAACTGATGAAAAAAAGGGAAAATAGAAAAGCCATGTGCGTTGGTCCCGGCCTTAGTGGTAATTCCCCCGGTCTCGGGTGGAAATGCAAAAGAAACTGTCGAGACTTCTGTCGAGACGAGTTTCAAAATCATCTAGGGAAGACCAGTCGTCTGTTCTGGTGTAAATGCCCTGTGAACGGCAGTTTTGGTCGAATCGTCGATCCCCCTTGTTCCGAAGGAGAGTCCCTTATAATGGGTAAATGCTACAAGACATGTCCGGCTGGTATGCGGCCTAGCCTCATCCCAGGCAGATGCTCTACCGATTGCTCCCATAACACCAACGGTTTGGTAAAGACG